AATTTATTATGTATCTTACATTGTTTTTTAATTACGATTTAAACTACATGTATACAATAGGTTCCTCGCCGATCACGTATCAGGCCAGCTCATTTCCGAAATTTTCTATCATAGTTATTGTCTCGCCGCTCTATCTGTTGACTCAGCGGTTGCTGCAGCTTCTGCGCTGCCTCGCGCGCGTCCGCCTCCTAAAACATATTAATTGATCAATTAACCATTACTCAATGATCAGTTCAGTGTTGAATAATTTATCACATCCGATGGTTTATTACAGATTCACGATCCTCTAATGGTGTTACCATATAGGGATGACGAGTCCGAGGAGAAAGTACGTGTTATGTATACGTAGATTCGGGTAACTAATCGAAGTCGGTCGGGATAGGAAGGCGTGCGTGCGGAGGAGAAAGGTGAGGATGAAATCGTGGAGAATTAAAAAAATGGTGGGATGGTACTGGCACGTAAGTACAGTCCACCCAGAAACCAGGAACGTTCATTATACAATACACGCTGCATCTGTGATATCAATTTTAACAAAATCTATGTAGGAATTATAAATATCTATATAGAAATTATATAAATATAGCAATTATAAATAGTAATATATATTTCACTTTTATGTGCGATTGAACGTATTTTTTTATCATATCATCTTGAAGACGTTCGATCGATGATTTACTTGTGGAGAGGAGCGTAGGTAGGTGAACAGATATACTTAGGTGGGTAAGTGAGTACCTCTTGCTGACGAATGCCGGCGAAGATGAGGTCGAGGCCTTTCTGTATCTCCTCGCTGACTGGCGGCGGCGTGGGAATGTGATCGCCGGTCGCGTGAAAGCCGGTCTCGTCCGCGGTGTAGTGAGTCGTGATCAGCTTCCCCTCCGGGCTCGTGTACGAGAAGCTTCCCTGTTGGACCAACCCCTCGGTCTGATCCGCGCCCTCGCCGAACTTCTTTATGTAACCGCTCTCCTCCGCGATTATATTGTTTCCCGTTTCGTAACTGATTCGTAAGAGGAATTTCGAATACTTATTACCAGTCGCGGTCATAATCTCGAAATTTGCATATAACGCAACGACCTCCTCCTCCTCCTCCTCCTCTCAGTCACTCTTCGCTTAATTAGAAACTTATTGAAATTATTCAATCGCGACCAGAAGAATTTCGTATTAGCATGAATACAATCATAGCCTCGAAATTTGCATATAACGCAATCCTACGCGATCTTCTCTCGACCACTCTTCGCTTAATTAGAAGCTTATTGAAATTGTTCAATCATGGCCAGGAGAATCTCAAATACGTATTAACAGTTATAGTCGTAGTCTCGCGATTTGAATATAACGCAATCCTTCAGAACCTTCTTAATTAGGAATTTATGGAAATCATTCATTTATATTTATATTACTTCGTTTCTAATCTAGAATAATTAATTCTTTTCTAATTGCGAAATTTAGGATTTTAACGCAGTTATCTAACATTTCTATTTTCACTTCATTAGCTCAATAAATAAAATGTTTCTGAACCCATTTTCTGGATTAACGTGAGATTAAGAGTTTACCTCGTTTTGTAAGTTCCATCGTGCTCTTGCTGTTTGTTCCAGTGCAAGATCGGAATGGGCGTCGTTGATAATAATGATCTTCTATCATCGCTACTGGGAGAGTTTTGTCTGTCCTCATCCCTGTAACTGTTGCGGTAGCTCGGGTCCTGCGCCGTCGCTATTCCCAAGATTATAGCTAAAACCTATAAACGAACAATATTTAAATTACCATCAAACGAAAAAATAAGAATTTCTCGATTCGGTTTAATTAAAACCTTGCATTTTTTCTACATTGACTTCATATAGTTCGTATAATTTAATAGGATATTTAATGAAATATTGGAAAACAGATTCGAAGTCTGAATCTTATTTTTGAATAATTCATCGATATTGAAAATTAATTAATGTGTGATTCATTGCAGGATGGGCAATACAAATGTTCATTCAATTCAGAATCAAAGGCCACTGGTACATATTGTACCAAGGTATAGTATTAGCGTTGGCGAGATGAGTGAAAGTAAGATGCCAACGCGGGTCGTTTAACTCCTGACCTACGACGAACCTCATCCTCTTCGATTCACTTTTGCCTCTTCGGGTCCCATCCGTCCTGTTTCGCAACCGATACACAAGTACAGTGCGTCACAAAAGCTACTCGAACTTATCTCACTCATCCATTGAATTTATCAAACAATTTATTTCATTTCTACAATCCTATAATAGTCCTAATCGTGTTAAATAATACTGTTCGAATTATCACATAATATTTCTTTTACGTCATATTTGTATTACCACCTTCATCCCAACTCTATTTTTTTTTATTATTACTGCAATGATATAGAGACTAAAGTTTCTAAAGGTTGAATGAAATTAATGAATGTATCTTCGAATAGTGAAGAGAATATAATTTTTCTTTAAATAAAAATTGATATGAACAATTGAAACAAGAATTGCTTCTTTTAATTATTTATATTGACACCACTTTCTTATTAATCTAAAACTAGATTCATTGTATAAAAAATCTTGTTGTTCTTAGTGTTATAAATATAAAATACTAAATCTAATTTCAATATCAAATTAAACGAACGTTAATTTTTAACAAGGATCCTAATTACGCAATACTAAATAGAAAACTACTTACAATCGTTTTCATCTTCGCAGTAAAAAAACACTTTCGACGAAGAAGAACAAGAGCAAGAGGAATCGGAACGTGAATCGTTTATGATCCGAGGTAAGTAAAGAATTCACCTTTTATACTCTCACCTCATCCCCCACTGCCGGCTGATGGATCTCCAAAGATGTTCCACCATACCGTGGCACTCAATTTATCTGAGCCATTCTTATCAGAACGAGGCCTCGCTCCTCTAGCAACAGAAATCTACTCACATACAAACTTACACGAACTCCTGTTTTAAATAAATATGAGTAATTCATGAATTTATTTTTTTAGGTATATCAGGTATTTGAATGGGTAAATTGATTTGAATGAAAATGGTTCATATAAATGGAGTTCTACGGTATAGTTCGTACAAGACGATCCTTTTCTTCGCCGCCATATACAGTGACCACAAAAAGTATCGACGTTCGATGATTGAACTAATTTCATCAGACGAGTGAAAAAGTAACTTATGCATCTCCGTTGTTGCAACGTTGACTCAATTAGGGTAAAATATATTTATTATTCTAATAAAAATAATTTCATAATTATTAAAATAAAGATATATTAATAACAATAATCAGTGCAATCGAGCATGAGATTGGATTATGATTGAAGACAATTAAACATGTAAATTAAATGATTTTCATTATGTTTGGTAAGGCAGGTCTTAAATGAAATGGAACACTTTCTACACATGTCATTTGTGACGCAATTATGGGTGAAAGGATCAAAATTTTGTGAGGAAAAAATAAGAGTTCAGTGATAACGCAACGCTCGTTCACTATACCGATTTTCGCTTTGTATTTCCATATTTAGCCATGAAGTAAAAAGCATGTGAGTTTTCAAATTTATTTAATAAAAAACGAAATACATTATTGTATAGTATCAAATCATTTCACGCAAACGAAAACATATAATTTCTCCTTTTATTATAAACGTATTATATCTACTCGGTCGCTTCGGTCTTCGTCACTTTGAGCAGTTCGTTGAGGTCCGCGTTGGACGGCAGTCCAAGTAATTCGCAGGCGCGCTTCCATAATTTGTCCGCCACTTCGGGATCGCTAGCTTTCGACGAGAGAGAAGTCGCTCTACAATTTCTAAAAATAAATACAAGTTATGTAAGAACGGTCTACCTTGGATTTGGTAAACGATGAAGAAAAAGATTATTGGAAAGATGGACGTGTTTCGGAGGCATGTAATTTGATGCAAATTATTTATCTGAGCGAAGGGTTAACAGACACGAAGGTGAACCCTGTTCATTTTCCTTTTGATGAAATTGGAACATGGAATATGAGATATAATTATATCTATTCTGTGACGTAATCGATTCTCGATTGATATAATTCATTCACATTTCAATGACGTTTTTAAAATTCTAATAATTTTTTAAAGGATCATTTACTATATAAAACAATTAGTTTGAATTTTATCCATTATGAGAATCTAATAAATATTTTATATCGAATTATAAATCGTTTGACATTTATACATATTAACATGCTGATTAAATTGACGTACTAATTAATATTCAATTGTTTCGTCGATCGTCTTACTTACTCGTAATACAGGCCGCTTTCATTTGCCGTTTTCTCATGCACAGCACAGTACAGCGTCGTCTGGGCGCCCTGTTTCGGGGTTTTGCTAAATACCGGCGCGAAGAATTTCCATATTGCCTGTAGACCCCTAAAAGTAGTTTTATCGAGGTAACGTCCCAGTTCCGTGTTAACCACACCCGGGTGCAAGCTGTATGTATTTATATTCTCAATCCCTGCAGCTGGATACGATAATTACACATAAAAAAAGATTTAATATCTTGTCCACAATCGAATTATAATTCGGTTACATCGTGTGGAATAATTCTATTAGTGGCCCACCTCTTAATCGTCTGCTCAGCTCTGTAGTAATCAAATTCACAGCCATTTTACTATTGCAATAAGCCTTGACTGGACTGTACGACTGTTCGTTGTTCAAATCGTCGAAATTGATACTCCCAACTTGGATAATAAATTTTCGTATTACAATCTTTAATATAAATNTTCTTAATCATGAATCGAACACTACTGAATTTTATACAGGATGGTTTCATTCGATTTTCACATTTTGATCGTAGCGAAATGTGTTTCAGAGGAGGCTTGAACGGCATCGAGTGGAGCAAAATTAAAAATTGTTTTTTCGCTCAAGCCTCCTCTAAAAAACTGTTCGCTACGTCCAACAAAAGCGAGAAAATCAAAGTGTCAAAATCGAGTGAGCCACCCTGCGTATAAAATATCTTTCCAAAATTCTATTGAATAATGCTAAAAATAATAACGCTTGTACGTTTTAATTATTGTTCGATTATAAAACTCACTTCTGTATGCAAGAGACGATACGTTGACTATCCTACAACCTGGTCCCGACTCACGGATCTTCGGCAACAATAACAACGTGAAAAGCAAGAGCGCGAGGAAGTTCACTTGAAAGTGCGTTTCGAAACCGTCCTCGGTTTTTTCAAACGGGTGCATCATCACAGCTGCGTTGTTTATTAATATATGGATATTAGGCTCGGTCGTTAAAAGTTGTTGCGCGCACTTTTTCACGCTCTTCAAGCTAGTCAAATCCAAATGGTAAGTTTCTAATTGTCCTGGCGCGTTTTTATCTTCCTCTCCATTGAGAACAGACTTTGTAAAATTTTCTTTTATGTCGTCTATAGCTTCTTTCGCCTTGGTGAGATCGCGGCATGCTAAAATTACTCTAGCACCTGACAGAAACACAGAAACAGGTATATGTAGTAATAATCGTTATTATCGTTCCAATCGCTGGCCGCAGCGCCGAGGTATCAACCTCTGTGATCAGTAAAACGTAGTTACATGCTGTCCTCGTTTGCATATTAATTGTTGTGCCAATAATTAAAATTCAATTATTCAAGCTACCAAGAAACATCTTTTTAAGAACAGGTGTATGTTTTGTAACACATTTTCATATCTTTAAAAGTAAAAATAAAACCAACCAACTGTTACATAAAATTGTTGAAAGTCATTCATACATACAGTACGTTTACTATAATGTTCGTGATAAAATAAAAAAATGTTCGTTCGCCTTGTAATACATTAAAAATCGAAGATTAAGAAATATTCAAGAAAAAGATCCGTGTTCCCTTCAGGACTGAAATTTAAAAGTTATTCGACTGCATTTACCTCTGGTATACAAATCCCTGGCTGTTTCTTTACCGATCCCACAATTAGCACCTGTCACGACGACGGTCTTCCCATCCAGGCGCGCGTCGCTGTGGCAATTTCTGCTGAACATTTCTTTTCTTCTTCTTCTTCTTCTTCTTCTTCTTCGAAAACAGGCACTTCACCGACTCCTCGATCACTCGTGATACCGCAACGTGTGCTACTCACTTCTCCCTCCGGGAAACCGAACGTTGTTCGTGGAACACGTATTACTTGAATCGAAGTTTCGCTTCCTTAGGAGAACGCCGGAACGCTGACCACATACCATGGAATAAATGCGTTTCAGTCACTACGTAGTTTTATCGAACAGTACCTACTCCTCGTCCTTATTCCAACAACAAGTGGTGGGGAGCCGAGTATTCAGACCGTAAACGCTCGGCCCAGTACTTGTTCATATTATATTGTTGCACATTTCGATTGCATATAATATTAAAATTATTTATATTCCTCTTGGACGAAATTAATTTAATTAAATCTGAAGAGAATCGTAAACAGTTTCAGTTATTATATGAAAGATTCAATTGTTTGAATTAAAATGATGATACATAATTTCAAGCTACATCGTTTTTCAATCAATTTATATGGAATAATGTTGCTCGTCTAAAATTATAATAATATAGATACGTAAATAGTCTGCAGACTTGGAGAAAAACCTGCTGAGTAACGAAGTTCACAGTCATCGTTAGATCATCATATCTAATTATGCTTAACATACGTGGTAACGTCACCCAGTTACAATATATTAAAACTTAATGAAATTGCAACCAGTCATTGACTCATTGTGCCAAAAAATACTAATCTGTCGATAGCCATTTATCAGTCCCGGGTCATTCTTATCATTAAACGTTATGAACCGAAATCTGCGAGCTACTGTCTCAAACAAAATACTTTTGTTTAAATCGCTTAATATGGAAAGTGTTGAATGAATGTAGGCGAGGCGTTTTTCTGATTATACTGGCATACATGCTTTGCCCTTTGGTGAAGGGTTCCACGGTTCTGTAGAATTTACAGTGCTTCGTACGCTTCAAGGTTTTCACAATGTTATTCATTCAAGAGGAGTAATGTCGCAACCAATGATTTAACTATCCGCTCGCGTGTCTCAGCTGCTCTTGAGACCGCATTCCGTCTTGCGAAACTGTATTCGAATCAAAAACAATTTTTGCATGTCAAGTGGACGCATAGCGCATCGGATAAAAACACGCAGTATTCACATCAACTATGAATAATTATTGGGGAAAAAAGGTACACCAGTAGAATCCAGTTGCGATTCCTAAGGAAAATCTGATGTCAAACGTTGTACAAGAATAACAAGTTCAGTATCTGACCGTTCACTTTTTAATAAGTATAAATCCATTGAGCCACCTAATTATTCCTTATCTTCGTCTAGTTAGATATCAAATAATATTTTTAAATCGACTTTGAAATGAAAACTTTGCATTCTATTATTATCGTTGGATAACTAACTTATCTAATCACCTCAGATATTTAAAAACGCGTCAGCTATTTCAGATGACGAACTACCTATTCATGACTATCAATTATTTGACTATCAATTATCTACAATAGGGTTACGCATTGGTCATTCATTGTATCAAATAACAGTCGTACTCATGCTGACTTTAGTTCCTACATAAACAATCCAATAAAAGGACAAGAAAAATTGTATTAAGGTCAGAATAGAGCAGATTTTCTGAAGTCCACGGAACCGTCTGCAACTCTTCGAGTCACGATTCAATGTTTCGAATTCCTCAACCCAGAATCCAACATTATATTAATTCGATCGTGAAATTATAAATCAATTATTAATGTGAAGCGTTAATATTAGAAAGATTATGAAGCGTCAGCTACTGGATAAAACTATCTACTCAAACTCTAAGCTGTAACAGAATCCGTCAAAGATTTAATCGCCGAGTCATCGAATTCATGCACATACATATATGTATCTCACAATGAAACTCAATGTGTCGTATAAACTGTAGGAACGTCGTATAATATATGTATACATATACAGAGGGAACAGTAAACGTGAGTGAGAGGGAGAGGAATTAGATAGTGGGCTGAGCACGCTGCTCCAAAGGATCAAGGTAGTTGGGTATAGTCTCGTGTCCGAAATCGACCCCAACCGGTTATTCACTGTCTCACGTCAGTTATGTATATCAACAATAAATCTATACACAAGTTCAACATTAATTATAAATAATTCGCAAATCTATAGATTCCTTAATTCATTCATTAACAACATTTAATTTATCACAAATAATCAATGGAGCTCTAAACAATATATTTTTAAAACAATCCATAAATCATTACAGTATCTGTATTTTTTTTTTAATAAAATAAATCCACCAGTAAATGAAAAAACTGAAATACATTATTTATCATTAATCAAGAATTTATTCATTTTTGTGCAATGTACTCGAGGAGGTACGTGTTTGTGAAAAGGAAGAGGATGTGCAAGTTCTATTCTGATAACGTGAAAGTTGAAATCGAGAAAGAAAAATGTGAAGCAAAACCGTTTAGTGATATACCTGGCCCAAAATCCTTCCCAATCATCGGGACGTTTTACAAATATTTACCCCTGATTGGTAAGAAATTCTAACGTACACACGATGACTTAGTAAGAAATATTCAAATACGATGATATGTCGTTTGATGATTTTATAAAAACCGCATGAGTCCGCATTATCTGAGAAAGCAAAATGAACTTTGTAATAAAATCAATCGCTACTGGAGAATTTTCTACGCTTCTTATTGACTTGTCAATAAAATATTGGTAGAATATAAATAATAATTTAAATAATAATTGATTCACCAGGCGAGTACAGTTTCACAAATTTGTACGACACTGGCAGGAAACGATTAAAACAATTCGGGCCGCTGGTACGTGAAGAAATCGTACCAAACGTGAACGTGCTATGGGTCTTCAGACCAGAGGACATAGCTGAGATATTGAAAGCAGAATCGGGTCTCCACCCAGAACGGAGAAGTCATTTAGCTCTGCTCAAGTACCGAAAAGACCGGAAACAGATTTACAACACTGGAGGATTGATAGCCACGTACATAATTAATTTCCTCTTTTAGCTTATTGGAAATCAAATATTATTCGATTTAATATAAATGTATAAAATATACGTATGTTAAAATGAGCTGAGTATTTACTCGTAAAATAAATATGAAGTGGTACAAATAAATTTTAGAAATGGGCCAGAATGGTGGAGGATACGAAAGGAATTTCAAAAAGTGACCAGCAAACCGCAAAACGTGATCAATTATTTACAAGAAACGGACCAAGTCGTTCAGGAATTCGTCGACTTGTGTGGAAAAGAGAAATTCGCCGACTTGTTGCCAATTCTGTCTCGCTTGTACCTCGAATGTACCGTAACTAATTTACACGATTAATCACCCGATGAATACGCTTCAAGTCCCTCCGTAATTTTTTATAATTCTTCACATTATTTTTAATTCATATATCTGTACGTTCGATGCAATATTAATTATCTATTCATTACTTACATATACCGATTGTGTCATTAAATGCAACTATTAATAATTTAGTCGTGTTGAATTATATTCACATAATTAATAGCTCGTGTATCGGAATTCAATTTTCTTATCTGATTTTTTTTTTAATCTCACAGTGACAGGCTTGGTCGTTTTCGACGAGAGATTGAACAGTCTCTCGAAGGAAGAACGACGGCCTGATACGACGAGCTCGAAATTGATTAAAGCCGCTATTACGACGAATAGCGCTATTCTCAAATTGGACAACGGATTGCGACTCTGGCGATATTTCAACACGCCATTGTACAAAAAATTAGAGAATGCTCAGTCCTACATGGAATCGTAAGAGAGAATATCTGATTCTACATATAATATAACACAATTATTATTTAAATAGGACAAATTTTTAGTATTGATTAAAGTAGTTTTATATACTGCAA